TGGTAGCAAGTATTGATATACTGTCATATCCACTGGCTGTGAATATTTAAATAGACTTTTGTAATAAATACCAATGGGTTGTAAAGGATTATAAATACTTCCGAGTCCGTTGCATGCTCTCTTTTGTGTGGCTCTGCTTGTTCTGCCTTGCAGTGACACTAAGGCCAACAATGTGTTGGCGGTTCAAACACTGGCACTGAAAGCGGAAACTATTGTCACGCAGTGTGTTGTCTACATTGACTTCAGCGATGTTCTACATTTACATCAGGTGTTGTTAAACCAGACAGGCTCTATTCACAGACCTAACTTGTGACTGACTGGTTGAGATATTACCATATTATACAAGGTGTTATATCACGGTGACCAGCTTTGTCGAATTGGACTTTTCTTGAAGAGGTGAGATGTGGTGTAGATCTATTGACGTGGAAGAGGGTTCGTACATTTGAGATTTAGATGACTGAAAAATTTATTTTTATATGGCCCAGTCTTCAATTTTGGGTGATACTGTTATCAGCTGATATTTCAACTGACGGTTATTATTTCAATTTAGGATTATGACTCCATATGTTGAATATTTTTCTCAAACCATATACAGAAATTTATAAATAGGATACCAAACTAATGATTTTGATTTTCAGGGAAAGCATTTTGGACTTTGGAAAATTGATGTTTGTTAAGTTGCATTTTGGCACCCCATTTATCCAAAAATCGTGTCACTTGTTTGCCATTAACATTAAATTTGTATAAAGACTAAATACAGAAATGAGATACTTCCAAAAGATATCTTATCTTTCATGATTTATTTTCATGAAGTGATGTTTCTTTTGTGGTTCAGTAAATAACCCATTCGTAATGTAGTCTTTGTCTGCAGTTCAGTATATAACCTATTGGTAATGTAGTCTTTGTCTGCAGTTCAGTATATAACCTATTGGTAATGTAGTCTTTGTCTGCAGTTCAGTATATAACATATTGGTAATGTAGTCTTTGTCTGCAGTTCACTATATAACCTATTGGTAATGTAGTCTTTGTCTGCAGTTCAGTATATAACCTATTGGTAATGTGGTCTTTGTCTGCAGTTCAGTATATAACCTATTGGTAATGTAGTCTTTGTCTGCAGTTCAGTATATAACCTATTGGTAATGTAGTCTTTGTCTGCAGTTCAGTATATAACATATTGGTAATGTGACCTTTGTCTGAGGTTCAGTATATAACCTATTGGTAATGTGGTCTTTGTCTGCAGTTCAGTATATAACCTATTGGTAATGTGGTCTTTGTCTGCAGTTCAGTATATAACATATTGGTAATGTGGCCTTTGTCTGCAGTTCACTATATAACCTATTGGTAATGTAGTCTTTGTCTGCAGTTCAGTATATAACCTATTGGTAATGTAGTCTTTGTCTGCAGTTCAGTATATAACATATTGGTAATGTGACCTTTGTCTGAGGTTCAGTATATAACCTATTGGTAATGTGGTCTTTGTCTGCAGTTCAGTATATAACCTATTGGTAATGTGGTCTTTGTCTGCAGTTCAGTATATAACCTATTGGTAATGTGACCTTTGTCTGAGGTTCAGTATATTACCTATTGGTAATGTGGTCTTTGTCTGCAGTTCAGTATATAACCTATTGGTAATGTAGTCTTTGTCTGCAGTTCAGTATATCACCTATTGGTAATGTGGTCTTTGTCTGCAGTTCAGTATATAACATATTGGTAATGTGGCCTTTGTCTGCAGTTCACTATATAACCTATTGGTAATGTGGCCTTTGTCTGCAGTTCACTATATAACATATTGGTAATGTGGCCTTTGTCTGCAGTTCAGTATATCACCTATTGGTAATGTGGCCTTTGTCTGCAGTTCACTATATAACCTATTGGTAATGTAGTCTTTGTCTGCAGTTCAGTATATAACCTATTGGTAATGTGGTCTTTGTCTGCAGTTCAGTATATAACATATTGGTAATGTGGTCTTTGTCTGCAGTTCAGTATATTACCAATTGGTAATGTAGTCTTTGTCTGCAGTTCAGTATATTACCAATTGGTAATGTAGCCTTTGTCTGCAGTTCAGTATATAACCTATTGGTAATGTGGCCTTTGTCTGCAGTTCAGTATATAACCTATTGGTAATGTAGTCTTTGTCTGCAGTTCACTATATAACCTATTGGTAATGTAGTCTTTGTCTGCAGTTCAGTATATAACATATTGGTAATGTGGTCTTTGTCTGCAGTTCAGTATATCACCTATTGGTAATGTGGTCTTTGTCTGCAGTTCAGTATATTACCAATTGGTAATGTAGTCTTTGTCTGCAGTTCAGTATATAACATATTGGTATTGGGCCTTTGTCTGCAGTTCACTATATAACCTATTGGTAATGTAGTCTTTGTATGCAGTTCAGTATATAACCTATTGGTAATGTAGCCTTTGTCTGCAGTTCAGTATATAACCTATTGGTCATGTGGTCTTTGTCTGCATTCAGTATATAACCTATTGGTAATGTGGTCTTTGTCTGCAGTTCAGTATATTACCAATTGGTAATGTAGCCTTTGTCTGCAGTTCACTATATAACCTATTGGTAATGTGGCCTTTGTCTGCAATTCAGTATATAACCTATTGGTAATGTGGTCTTTGTCTGCAGTTCAGTATATAACCTATTGGTAATGTGGTCTTTGTCTGCAGTTCAGTATATAACCTATTGGTAATGTAGTCTTTGTCTGAAGCTCAGTATATAACCTATTGGTAATGTAGCCTTTGTCTGAAGATCAGTATATAACCTATTGGTAATGTGGCCTTTGTCTGCAGTTCAGTTTATAACCTATTGGTAATGTGGCCTTTGTCTGCAGTTCAGTATATAACCTATTGGTAATGTGGTCTTTGTCTGTGTTTCAGATTGGTTATTTTTGTCATGGTAGCCAATTCCCTAATCTTTGTGTTGTGGTAACATGCACCAAGATCTGATTTTAATGAAATAGTTTATCACCTTAATGCCAAGGTGGGGTAACAACAAGTACCATCTTCAACGTCTTTTGGTATGAAGTGGCCAGGAGATCGATCCACCGACCTTCCACTGTCTGGACACTTGCTCTATCCACTACACGTCTCTAACCATTGAATAATATCCAACATCAATGTGTAGTAATTATAGTAAACATCATGTATTATCTGACCTTGTATTAAAAGTTTCTGATTGGTTATTGAATGGGTAATAGTTTCCTATGTACATGCTGATAGATACATGTATGTTTAAATTTTATTTACGCCACTGGGAAATGCCGAACTTCTTACCAATGCCAATACAATGATATGATTATATATGATTATGTTGAAACTGAAACCAATCGAATGCAGTTTAGCACTCTGGTAAGATAAATTTGTCAAATCATGAAGAAGGACAATTTTAGATTTTCCCCTGTGCATTGTGTTTGTTTGTTGTTTAACTCCGTGCTCAGCAATACTCCAGCTTAGTGACAGTGATCTGTAAATAATTTAGTCTGGACCTGACAATCCAGTGATTGACATGAGCATCGATCTGTGCAATTGGGATACGATGACATGCATCAACCAAGTCAGCGAGCCTGACCACCCTACCCTTTCGTTGCCTCTTACAACAAGCATAGATGCCTTTTACGTCAAGCATGGGTTGCTGAAGACCTATTCTACCCCAGATCTTCACGGGTCTCATGATGAACGACAGGTATCACATTCACAAACATTGTCACAGAGTCTTGTCAAGTGTAGATATGGTGGGGTAGCCAAGTTGTTAAAGGTTTCCTTGCCGAGTTGCGATTTCTTACATGGGCACAATGTGTGGAACTGATATCCTAAATAGATATTGCAAGAATAACCTAAGCCATACACTGGAACACAATCGTGATAATTGGGAAACAATTTCCATTTGTTAGCCAAAAAATTGTCAATTGATTTTTACTTTAGCTGAAAAAATATCTTAAATTATTAATTCGTGGAATATGTTACCCAAAACTGGATGTGTATGCTTCCAGAAGGTGGATGTGCACCCGACATCCCCCCTCTGGATCCACTATGTGTCACCATGGAAACAAGTTTAATTGGCTTGGACTGATGGAAGAAGCAGGGGAATATTTCATTATTTGCTCACGTATCGATGTAGTGTTGAAGTGATGCTGATATGTTTACTATTGTTCGTTGGCATGGAAACAAATTGGACATGGAATCATTTGAAGATGGAATCAGTTTAACAACGCCCTCAGTTATCTCCATCCTTACATGGTGTATACCCTGGACTCTCATGAAAATAATACCGTGGTTAGAGGACTAATCCTTACACTCTTCAGTGGAATCTAGCCAAATCAGACCCGTGAAGATTCCGGGGTAGAACAGGTCTTCAGCAACCCATGCTTACCGTAACAGGCGACTGTGCTTGTTGTAAAAGGCGACTAACAGGATCGGGTGGCCAGGCCCGCTGACTTGGTTGATACATGCCATCGATCCCAATTGCGTGGGTCGATGCTCATGATGTCAATCACTGGATTGTCTTGTCCAGACTCGATTATTTCACAGACCGCCGTCATATAGCTGGAATATTGCTGAGTACAGCGTTAAACAACAAACAAACTGTCCAAATCAGACTCTGTCAAATTCCGATTTCGGTGAACATAATAAATTGTCATTTCTCAAACTGACCTACAACTCTCTAATTCGGACTTTTACACTTCGGACTTCCTGACAACCAATTTACTATGAAAAGAAGCTGTCTAAATCAGACCGGACCAGATTGAATGTTCTGTTACTTTTAAATAAGCTCAGTCATTGTCGGCTAAAACAACAGTGCTAATCGCGCTTGTAATCCCATTGATCTTAACACAGTTTCAAATTGCAGGTTCAGAATTTGACTTGATTATGACCATTGGTTTGTCCTCATAATGTATTCCGCTTGTCTATGACTTGGATCAGTTCCTCCCACACTAAGCTGACAGACCGATGTGACTGATGTATTGTTCACTCACTCACTCATATTATCTTTGCAGGATCTCATGGGATGATGACTTCATCACTAAATATGCTACGAATAGTGGTGGTGCTCTCCCTTGTTGTCATGGCAACTGGCGAGTTTACCTTCACCTGCAACCGATCCCCATCAGCAATTGGTCCCGCTATGCCCGAGCTGCCCCAGCAATATGAAATGCGAGTGGAGGCCAACATTATCCAGGTGAGACATAAACAGTGGTTAGGGAACATGTTTCACTAATTCTTATAAAGTCATGTAAAAATTAAGGACAAATAATTGGTAAGTTATACTTTTCTGGTAATATATCAGCAACAGTAAAATAAAGTTAACTGCCTTTTTGTCTGTCATTCTGAGTTGACACTGCCAAAGGTTTGTTTTTTTGTTATGACTGATTCTCACTGAAATGACATCCTGGAAGACTGGCCTAATACCCTGGACAAGACATGGAAAAGTCCTTAAAGTTGTCAGGCTAATAGTAGATGAATCCTCTGTGGGTACAAGTCTGTTTGACAACCATTTTAGTATCGCCTGCCATGATATTGTCTGACCCGTGAAGATTCCGGGGTAGAATAGGTCTTCAGCAACCCATACTTGCCCTAAAAGGCGACTAAGCTTGTTGTAAAAGGCGACTAACGGGATCGGGTGGTCAGGCTCGCTGACTTGGTTGATTCATGTCATAGATCCCAATTGCGTGGATCGATCTTCATGCTGTCAATCACTGGATTGTCTTGTCCAGACTTTATTATTTACAGAATAACCGTCATATAGCTGGAATATTGCTGAGTGCAGCGTTAAACAACAAACAAACAAAACAAAAACATGAAAGTGTCATGGCTTAAAAATACTGTTGAACGTTTATGGCTGATTTTCAAAAATTCTTTCAAAGACAGTACATCTTTGCTGTAATTCGGTATTGTGGCTGCAACCACACTCTAACTAAATCTTCAGATTTTCAACAGATGTCCTCTTCACTCTCAACTACACATAAGTAGTTGTAACCGTAATAGCACAAAGCAGCTTATATTGTTTTGATATTTCAGTCACAGAAAACAATTGAGGTCTTGGAGAGTTATGACTTCCCTGGGAAAGTGGTTGCACTGACAATGATTACAAATGGCCAGATCTCCAAAAGTATTCACAACTTCAAGACACAGGAGCGATATGACATTCTAGCAAGTAAGTGTTTGTTTGTTTGTTTGTTGTTGTTTAACACCACACTCAGCAATATTCCAGCTATATGACGGCGGTCTGTAAATAATCAAGCCATTTTGTAAGATAAGCGTTCGAAAACTCTGCAGGTAGGATAAATTTGTCAAATCATGAAGAAGGCCAAATTTAGATTTTCCCCTGTGCTTGGTGTTTTTTTGTTGCTTAATGCCACACTCAGCAATAGTCCAGCTTTGTGATGGTGGTCTGTCAATAATTGAGTCTGGACCTGACAATCCAGTGATTGACATGAGCATCGATCTATGCAATTGGGATACGATGACATGAATCAACCAAGCCACCGAGTCTGACCACCCAGTCAATTAAGTCACCTCTTAGAACCAGCTTAGGTGGTTGGGGACGGCATTCTAACCCATATTGACCACATGGCCTACATGTGGATGTACATACTTCAGCATTAGAAGTTCTCTCAGAGTTGAGATTGGTAATAAGCAGACCCATGAAGATCCGGGGTAGAATAGGTCTTCAGCAACCCATGCTTGCCATTAGAGGTGACTTTGCTCGTTGTCGATGGTCATGATGTGAACTGGGGGGCACGGGTGGCCCAGTCGGCTAAGGCCCCGCGATTCGCTATGCAGAGTTGCGTCCCTTGGGCACGCCAGAAACCTATGATTGTGGGTTCGAATCACGGTTCGCCCTGATTATGTTTCTAGGTTTGTCAGCACCATACCCGTGCTCGTGGGTTTCACCTAAGTGGTAAACGTCGGAGACCTGCATCACTTTGGGCTTTCCTCCAACATTAAGCTGACACGCCGCGATATAACTGGAATACTGTTAAAAGCGGTGTTAAACCCAACTCACTCACTCACTCATGATGTGATTTGATGGACTGGACTGCCTGGTCCAGACTCGATTATTTACAGATCGCTGTCATATAGCTGGGACAGGTTACTCGGGTACTCGGGTACTCGGGTACACGGGTCGAGTGGGTCCCGAGTAGGACCCAGGTACCCACAGGACTACCCGGATCCTATGTTAGTCACATGATATATTGTTTAATGACAAAAATTATCAAAAACTCTATGGTTACACTACAAGTCACTAATGTTCCCATTTCCTTTTGACAACGCACCCTTTCCTTCTAACAAGCGGCATAGGTTGCTAAAGACAAATTATAACCCTGATCTTCACAGTTTGACGGGTTTCTGACACTCAGACATGAATCCTTATCTTTATTTTGTGTTAAAGACGAGACATGCAACACAACCAGCATCAACAGCGACAGCGACAACTACAACATCTTTGGCTTCACAGCCCAAGGGACAGATGGGAAGATTCAAATGGCTTCAGTGTCGGATGTTTTCAAGTTTGCGAAAAAATACAATGTGTCGTATGTCCGTGAAACTATGGTGAGTTGAGAAGGACTGGATCTTGTATGGATGGTCTTACCATTTTCTCTACTAGGCTAACTATTTTTTCAAAAACCATTGCCTGAAGACCAATTCTTGAATTCTTTTAAGCCCCATGTGAGGGCACAAGTTGCTCAGTTGTCTAACAATTTGCTGAGCAGAGTTCTGTCCCTTAAGTATGACAGGAACCTATGATCAAGGGCTCTGATAATGTTTCTAGGTTTGTCAACATCATACCCATGCTCGTGGGTTTGACTAAAGTGGTAAACATCAAAGACTTGCATCACTTCGGGATTTCCTCCCACATCCAGCTCACATGCCATGATATAACTGGAATACTGCTCAAAGGGGCGTTAAACCCAACTCACTCAATGCAATGCTCATGGTGACTGTCAATACTGAAATAGGACCTCATGAGGGGTGGTAGTGTAGCCTAGTGGTTCAAGCGTTAGCTCCGACATGGAGGTGATGTGTGAAATCTCATCTAAATCAAATCTTTGTTCTCACTTCCGCTTCAGGGCGGTGGGGTAGCCTAGCGGTTTGCTCGTCACGCTGAAGACCCGGGGTTCAATTCCCCACATGGGTACAATGTGTGAAGCCCATTTCTGGTGTTCCCTGCCGTGATATTGCTGGAATATTGCTTAAAACCATACTCACTCACTCACTTACTACCGCTACACAAAGACTTGAGGACCTGTCTGCCTGTCTCATGTACAGTTAATATGGAGTGAAAAGACACATGTTTGCTCATCTGCCTGGGGTGGTACCTTGGTATGAAACCTGTCCGCAAGATACACACGCACCTACCCCACACACTAAGCCCTGGACGAATAAGAGGTGGAAATTTGAAAAAAGGCACACAAGGTCATACCGTAGGTGAAAGACCACGAGTCTGGTTCATGAGCATAATACCTCTTGGGGGTGGAGCAGAAGGGTGGGGGCATTGAGAGGGGGGTGGAGCAGAAGGGAGGGGGCATTGAGAGGGGGTATGGAGCAGAAGGGAGGGGACATTGAGAGGGGGGGTGGAGCAGAAGGGAGGGGACATTGAGAGGGGGTGGAGCAGAAGGGAGGGGGCATTGAGGGGGGGGGGTGGAGCAGAAGGAAGGGGACATTGAGAGGGTCAGGTACTTCTTCTGGTATAAAACCTGTGACAGAGTTTAGTTTTTGCCAGTAATGTCTGAGTTATGTGGAAAACAATTTCCGGCCAGCCTTATATGTATGAGGAACATTTTAGTAAGGATGACCTGTTGGTTTTGTTGCAGATCCGAGGCATCCCTGTCAACCAGTGGACTTCCTGTCAAGTATCGGCCGAGCTTCACGCCTCCTTTAAACTCGACTACTACTTCAGCAGGCGGGGCTATGAGAGTGCCACCGGCAGTGAGAACATCCCCATCCGATTTGTCATCAGTGGACAAGGTAGATAAATGAACCAACCGGGCCGTTCAGGGAAGAGTTCCTGGAAAACCTTGCCCGGCCTTGGCCATGTTTTACAAAGAACCAGGTGTGGGTGGATAATGATCCTGACAGAGTTCCTGGAAGAATAGGGTTATGGTACCCATCTTTGTCTGCCAGTGGAGGTCATGGCTCAGAAGGGTTCCCAGGATCCCATCTTTGTCTGCCAGTGGGGAGTTCCTGGAAGAATAGGGTTATGGTACACCAACAGGTCTCTTGTACCCCATGCTTGCCTCCCTGTGGGGATTCCCCAGCAGAACAGGTCTCTTGTACCTCATGCTTGCCTCTCTGTGGGGATTCCCAAGCAGAACAGGTCTCTTGTACCTCATGCTTGCCTCTCTGTGGGGATTCCCCAGCAGAACTGGTCTCTTTTACCGCATGCACTGTGTACTGGGGACCTATACTGCCAGGAAATCGCCTCTGCACATTTCCGTTGCCATGTTTGTGTAATGTTTGTGGTCAGGTTGATGAATCATCACTGTTTCTCCTTCTATTTCAGCTGACAATGGGGAGACATCAGGTATACACAACTTCTCTCATGTATACGAATTCTCCGTCTTCAAACCAGGGCCAATCAAGGACAGAAGTGTATTTGAGGTAAGGTCTTACAATTTTTTTGCTTGATTTGAGGATATCTGACCTTTAAAATTGAAAATGTATATTTAAATAAAAATATCAGAATGACAAGGTCTTCTTCATAAAAGATCGCTTTAAAGTAACAATAAAAGAATATCCAAGGGAATTTTATTTGAATTTGTGTAGATGATTCTTTTTATCACCTTACCAATCCAAATCAAACTTTTAAGAAGATTAAATGAGTCTTGTACAATGCTTTTGCTGTTATTATTTCTTAAGACCTACCTACCAAATGTTTCACAATCAAAGTCCGTAAAACCAAAACAAAGAAATGTGGATAACATGGCTTGTTTTATGGGACACTTACGTCGAACGCCAACACCAGATTTGTTGTTGGACTGAACAAGGGCTGTAACTCCTGTCCAACATGTTTTATTCAGACTCAGATTAGAATAGATCTTCAGCAACCCATGCTTGCTGTAAAAGGTGACTTTGCATGTCGTAAGGGGTGACTAACGAGATTGGGTGGTCAGGCTCGCTGACGTGGTTGGTGCATGTCATTGTATCCCAATTGTGTGGATCAATGCTCATTAAAACAATCACTGGATTGTCTTATCTGGACTTGCTTATTTACAGACTGCCATCATAAAGCTGGAATATTGCTGAGTGACAAATGTAGAGATTCCGGGTTAGGATTAGTCCCCTGCAATTTATGCTTATTATAAATAGCGACTAAATGGATCGGGTGGTGTCGTTCTCTGTGGGGTGGGACATTGCTCATTATATCAATCACTGGATTTACAAGTTGTCATCATATATTACGAAGTGTGGCATTAAGCAATAAACAAACAAAACTAAATTTGCATTAGTGGTGACAAATTCTGTAAGTTTGTGCTAAGGCCAATGACTATTTTGGATATAGGAGCAATGCATTCCATCATGAAGGGTTTGTCTCTTGAATCCTCAGACACCAAGAGGAGTTGTATGCACTGGCCGGAACAATTCTGTCCCTTTGCCGAAACTTGTCGACCAATTTACTGCTGAGGTAGAGATAGATGCAGGGAGACAGCAGCCACCGCATAATATGAAGGTAAACAAATCAAGCTAAACAATTGTTAAATACTTTACTCAATGTGCACCCTTGTTCCAGATATACTTTGACTCAATGTGACACTTTGTTCCAGATGTACTTTGACTCAATGTGACACTTTGTTCCTGATGTACTTTGACTCAATGTGACACTTTGTTCCTGATGTACTTTGACCTAATGTGACACTTTGTTCCTGATGTACTTTGACTCAATGTGACACTTTGTTCCTGATGTACTTTGACTTAATGTGACACTTTGTTCCTGATGTACTTTGACTCAATGTGACACTTTGTTCCTGATGTACTTTGACTCAATGTGACACTTTGTTCCAGATGTACTTTGACTCAATGTGACACTTTGTTCCTGATGTACTTTGACTTAATGTGACACTTTGTTACAGATGTACTTTGACTCAATGTGACACTTTGTTCCAGATGTACTTTGACCTAATGTGACACTTTGTTCCTGATGTACTTTGACTCAATGTGACACTTTGTTCCTGATGTACTTTGACTCAATGTGACACTTTGTTCCAGATGTACTTTGACTCAATGTGACACTTTGTTCCTGATGTACTTTGACTTAATGTGACACTTTGTTACAGATGTACTTTGACTAAATGTGACACTTTGTTCCAGATGTACTTTGACTTAATGTGACAGTTTGTTCCTGATGTACTTTGACTCAATGTGACACTTTGTTCCAGATGTACTTTGACTAAATGTGACAGTTTGTTCCTGATGTACTTTGACTCAATGTGACACTTTGTTCCTGATGTACTTTGACTCAATGTGACACTTTGTTCCAGATGTACTTTGACTAAATGTGACAGTTTGTTCCTGATGTACTTTGACTCAATGTGACACTTTGTTCCAGGTGTACTTTGACTTAATGTGACACTTTGTTCCAGATGTACTTTGACTCAATGTAACACTTTGTTCCTGATGTACTTTGACTCAATGTGACACTTAGTTCCAGATGTACTTTGACTCAATGTGACACTTTGTTCCAGATGTACTTTGACTCAATGTGACACTTTGTTCCAGGTGTACTTTGACTACAATTTCAAGCTGATAAGGAATGACAGGTTTTACAGCAAGGATGAGCGGCACCAGTACGGAGCTGGTCTCATCACCAAGATTGAGGACTACAAAACAGGTACACATTTGCGAGCATTCAGAATGTATGTATACTAGATATTCCACAGAAGTGGTAAATGAACTTCCACATCGTACCTACATTGGGAATGATTTATTGTTTTGATGTTAAACCTGTCTCACTCACTTACATGTGGTATAAATGAAATACTCTTGAAAGTGGTGTTAAACCCATCTCACTCATTAACATGCAGTGATATAACTGAAATACTGTTCAAAGCAGTGTTAAACCCATCTCACTCACTGACATGTGATATAACTGAAATACTGTTCGAAGCAGTGTTAAACCCATCTCACTCACTGACATGTGATATAACTGAAATACTGTTCGAAGCAGTGTTAAACCCATCTCACTCACTGACATGTGATATAACTGAAATACTGTTCGAAGCAGTGTTAAACCCATCTCACTCACTTACATGTGATATAACTAAAATACTGTTCGAAGCAGTGTTAAATCCATCTCACTCACTGACATGTGATATAACTGAAATACTGTTCGAAGCAGTGTTAAACCCATCTCACTCACTGACATGTGATATAACTGAAATACTGTTTGAAGCAGTGTTAAACCCATCTCACTCACTGACATGTGATATAACTGAAATACTGTTTGAAGCAGTGTTAAACCCATCTCACTCACTGACATGTGATATAACTAAAATACTGTTCGAAGCAGTGTTAAACCCATCTCACTCACTGACATGTGATATAACTGAAATACTGTTCGAAGCAGTGTTAAACCCATCTCACTCACTTACATGTGATATAACTAAAATACTGTTCGAAGCAGTGTTAAACCCATCTCACTCACTGACATGTGATATAACTGAAATACTGTTCGAAGCAGTGTTAAACCCATCTCACTCACTGACATGTGATATAACTGAAATACTGTTCGAAGCAGTGTTAAACCCATCTCACTCACTGACATGTGATATAACTGAAATACTGTTCGAAGCAGTGTTAAACCCATCTCACTCACTGACATGTGATATAACTAAAATACTGTTCGAAGCAGTGTTAAACCCATCTCACTCACTGACATGTGATATAACTGAAATACTGTTCAAAGTGGTGTTAAACCCATCTCACTCACTGACATGTGATATAACTGAAATACTGTTCAAAGTGGTGTTAAACAGATCTCACTCACTGACGTGATATAACTGAAATACTGTTCAAAGTGTTCAGTGTTAAACCCATCTCACTCACTGACGTGATATAACTGAAATACTGTTCAAAGTGGTGTTAAACAGATCTCACTTACTGACGTGATATAACTGAAATACTGTTCAAAGTGTTCAGTGTTAAACCCATCTCACTTATTAACATGCAGTGATATACTGAAATACTGTTCAAAGCAGTGTTAAACCTGTTTCCCTCACTCACTCTAGGTCTGGAGTATGTGATTGACCGGGCAGAGGGCAACTGCACCGTGCACAAGATACCCGAGAAGACCTGGAGAAGTGTCGCCAAAGACTCACACAACATCACCATGCTACATGCTCAGGAACTGCTGAAGATCCAGAGCAGGAATTTAGTCTACCAAGGAGAGGTAACTTGTGAATTCTGGGAATGAAATTAACAAGTTTCTGAATCATTTAAGACTATCATCTAGTCTCTGAAATGAAAATATTTGACAAGAAGAATTAAATTATCTTGAAAAAATATAATTAAAATGAGCCAAGAGACTCTTCATTTTCAGAAACTGCAGTAATCTAGACTGGCCAGCTATTATAGACTTGCAAGGGCTGTACTGGACATATTTGTTGCAGGGTCTAGATGACAGTAATCTAGACTTGCCAGCTATGATAGACTTGCAAGGGCTGTATTAGATATATTTGTTGCAGGGTCTGTATGACAGTAATCTAGACTTGCAAGGGTTGTATTAGATATATTTGTTGCAGGGTATGTATGACAGTAATCTAGACTTGCAAGGGTTGTATTAGATATATTTGTTGCAGGGTATGTATGACAGTAATCTAGACTTGCAAGGGTTGTATTAGATATATTTGTTGCAGGGTATGTATGACAGTAATCTAGACTTGCAAGAGCTGTATTAGATATATTTGTTGCAGGGTCTGTATGACAGTAATCTAGACTTGCAAGGGCTGTATTAGATATATTTGTTGCAGGGTCTGTATGACAGTAATCTAGACTTGCAAGGGTTGTATTAGATATATTTGTTGCAGGGTATGTATGACAGTAATCTAGACTTGCAAGGGCTGTATTAGATATATTTGTTGCAGGGTATGTATGACAGTAATCTAGACTTGCAAGGGTTGTATTAGATATATTTGTTGCAAGGTATGTATGACAGTAATCTAGACTTGCAAGAGCTGTATTAGATATATTTGTTGCAGGGTATGTATGACAGTAATCTAGACTTGCAAGGGTTGTATTAGATATATTTGTTGCAGGGTATGTATGACAGTAATCTAGACTTGCAAGGGTTGTATTAGATATATTTGTTGCAGGGTATGTATGACAGTAATCTAGACTTGCAAGGGTTGTATTAGATATATTTGTTGCAGGGTATGTATGACAGTAATCTAGACTTGCAAGGGTTGTATTAGATATATTTGTTGCAGGGTATGTATGACAGTAATCTAGACTTGCAAGGGTTGTATTAGATATATTTGTTGCAGGGTCTGTATGACAGTAATCTAGACTTGCAAGGGTTGTATTAGATATATTTGTTGCAGGGTATGTATGACAGTAATCTAGACTTGCAAGGGCTGTATTAGATATATTTGTTGCAGGGTATGTATGACAGTAATCTAGACTTGCAAGGGCTGTATTAGATATATTTGTTGCAGGGTCTGCATGACAGTAATCTAGACTCGCAAGGGTTGTATTAGATATATTTGTTGCAGGGTATGTATAACAGTAATATAGACTTGCAAGGGCTGTATTAGATATATTTGTTGCAGGGTATGTATGACAGTAATCTAGACTTGCAAGGGCTGTATTAGATATATTTGTTGCAGGGTATGCATGACAGTAATCTAGACTTGCAAGGGCTGTATTAGATATATTTGTTGCAGGGTATGTATGACAGTAATCTAGACTTGCAAGGGTTATATTAGATATATTTGTTGCAGGGTATGTATGACAGTAATCTAGACTTGCAAGGGTTGTATTAGATATATTTGTTGCAGGGTATGTATGACAGTAATCTAGACTTGCAAGGGTTGTATTAGATATATTTGTTGCAGGGTATGTATGACAGTAATCTAGACTTGCAAGGGCTGTATTAGATATATTTGTTGCAGGGTATGTATGACAGTAATCTAGACTTGCAAGGGCTGTATTAGATATATTTGTTGCAGGGTATGCATGACAGTAATCTAGACTTGCAAGGGTTGTATTAGATATATTTGTTGCAGGGTATGTATAACAGTAATCTAGACTTGCAAGGGCTGTATTAGATATATTTGTTGCAGGGTATGTATGACAGTAATCTAGACTTGCAAGGGTTATATTAGATATATTTGTTGCAGGGTATGTATGACAGTAATCTAGACTTGCAAGGGTTGTATTAGATATATTTGTTGCATGGTATGTATGACAGTAATCTAGACTTGCAAGGGTTGTATTAGATATATTTGTTGCAGGGTATGCATGACAGTAATCTAGACTTGCAAGGGCTGTATTAGATATAATTGTTTGGTTTTTTTTCTTTTATTTTTTTTTAGAAAGACACACCTGTTACATAAATGGGCTTCCGCCCAGGGTAGCAGAAAGCCCACACAAGAAAAAATACCCATATATACAAAATATACAATTTTGTATATTTGATATTTCCAAAATATACAATTTTGTATAGTTGGTATTTCCAAAATATACAATTTTGTATATATGGTTAGATTTTACCACTGCTTCATTCAATTTCCTCACCTCTTATAGAATGTTTCACATAATATGTGGTTGCAAAGTTTACTAATGATACTGAACAGTATAATTATTGCATGTGACAATAATGCTTTAATACTATTTTCATTATGACAACTATATGATGTTATGAAATAATTTGTATTTCGTTATGTTTTACAGATCTTAATAACAGTTTGATCAATATAAAATGCGTACGCCAGCAACAAGTAGTTGAAAGTAGTTTTAAACATTGATGTTTATCGTTCCAAAGCTCTGTTCTCCAGCTCAGTTCATCTTTGTTTACGAGAACGTTTTTAATATGGGCAATTTTCTTCTTTCGGGACATTGGAGCAGTCATAATATTCATAACATCATAAATATTAAGATTACAGGCAATTTTAACAACTTTAGTACTCCATGAACTTTTACATAGTAACCATTTTCTTCATCAAAGCGTTACAAGTACTGTTATTAAATCTTGGGGTAGTCTAAAAACATTAGCATGTAATGTAACAAACGGGGAGGAGAGACCCATGTCTCCATTAGTGGCTATACATGGAGGTACCGTTACTAACACCAAGAAATAATTTACCGGCTCTATTTTGGATTAGATTAACGTTTTATCCTCATATACCAGAGCCATAGAACATTACCGGCTCAACAAGACTTTCATACAGTTTCATAAAAAACATCATAAGACATACACCCAACAGAATAAGACAAAGCATGGCTGGCAGAATTGTACAACTCTTTCACAGTTTCACATATCTAGATGCTCGTCAACCCGTAGTCCCAGATAACGATATGATTCTACATAGACCAGTGTTTGCCCAGCGTAGAGGAATCTGGTTAATCTGTATCACTTAACGAGTGGTGAATGGCTTACTCTGCCCACAGTCGAGAGCAGCACAGTAATTAGTAGTTTAGACCAGGCGAATACACTGGTCACACTTGACTGGTCTGTCTGATGATTCGGTCACCTGCCAAATGGGATGTCTGACAATTGGGTGTGAACCTTACAGAGGAAGTTATTTTATGAATGCGTCACGTGTTTCAAAAGAGATGACCATTATCTAAGTAAAATACTTCTAAGATCATAAAGGACATAACATTTAATGAAGTGAAATTCATTTTCGACAAACTTTTATGAACAATTTTAAAACAGTGTGGGCAGATTCTATTTTCTAAAAGGTTTGGGGGGTTGTAAATCGTCCTGTTTCGATCCAGATCTAAAACTAGCTAAAATGCGACGGTGGTCCCTGTATTTAAAACATAAGGAGCAACAACGTTACGATCATGAAAGTTCTTAATGTATTGCCCTTAACGTTATGTTTATCGTTCCAAAGCTCTGTTCTCCAGCTCAGTTCATCTTTGTTTACGAGAACGTTTTTAATATGGGCAATTTTCTTCTTTTGGGACATTGGAGCAGTCATAATATTCATAACATCATAAATATTAAGTTTACAGGCAATTTTAACAACTCCATGAACTTTTACATAGTAACCATTTTCTTCATCAAAGCGTTACAAGTACTTTTATTAAATCTTGGGGTAGTCTAAAAACATTAGCATGTAATGTAACAAACGGGGAGGAGAGACCCATGTCTCCATTAGTGGCTATACTGGAGGTACCGTTACTAACACCAAGAAATAATTACGGGCTCTATTGTGGATTAGATTAACGTTTTATCCTCATATACCAGAGCCATAGAACATTACCGGCTCAACAAGACTTTCATACAGTTTCATAAAAAACATCATAAGACATACACCCAACAGAATAAGACAAAGCATGGCTGGCAGAATTGTACAACTCTTTCACAGTTTCACATATCTAGATGCTCGTCAACCCGTAGTCCCAGATAACGATATGATTCTACATAGACCAGTGTTTGCCCAGCGTAGAGGAATCTGTTTAATCTGGTTAATCTGACTGTTGGAATATTATCTATGCATTATCCTGTCTAAAAATCTAGATATATTTACAATATCATGTATGCATTTTTGAATCATTGTATTCCGGAGTGGTCTTCATATAAACTTCTTGACCAATCCGCTTCATGGACATTTTCAGAAAAACATTTATTTATTTTTTTTAAATGAAAATTTTACAGGGACTAGCTGTGCTACCACACATGTTAAACCATTTTTACAGTTTTGTCTAATTTTAGCGATAATGAAAACTGAGTAGAGATAAGATATATTGATGAACATCGTCTTTATTACAGTTAGGAGCGACGCTTAGGTGTATGTTGTAACACCATTATCAAACAAGTGATGTTGTTCATCCACAGATCTTATCCTCTCTCAATACTCCAACTTCTAAATTCCTCGCAAAGAAGATAATGATACTTGTTTTGAATCTTGCCATCGTACAAAATATTCTTCGCACAGTATTCAAGAAACAATGTAATATTAATATCATACCACGCCATCAATATATGTTGTGCAATATTTGAGAGGTTGGCGCCTGTCGGGACGGTGTGAGATGCTAAAACTGTTCTTGTATAGTCTAGTATCCTTTGGCTAGTGACAGCTACCACTGTTTATTCCCATTCAAGTTGCTAACGGTGTTTCATCTAAACAGTATTATGGGAACGGAAATTAAAACATTACTTCATTCGTTATGCTACCATTTTTGAATATATGTCCATGAGATTAATCTGTTCATTTTTCCGTA